TGTATTAGGACCTCTAACATTTTGATAATAAATGCTTAGCGAATTGCTACCAATCTGTTTTTTATATCGGTGGTTGCTTTTGGTAATTTAACAATGTTTTACTCATACTTCTAAGTTTAGGCTTAATTTCGCGTACTAAAGCCCCAGGTGTCCAGAATGAACTATCTAACATCTCTTTGAATGTTTCAAGAGATACGTCTATTTTAAACGATGATATACTTCTATCATAATTGAAGTTAAATTTACGGATATTGGTATCATCGATTTTTAAACGTGACGAAATGTAAGACTTAATATCCTCCACCAAGGTCTCTTGGGCAAGTCTAGAAATAAATATAGACTTTTTAGGTGGAATAACTACCAAATTTTTAACCGATGCCACTAAGTTAATAGGGGAAGCCTCTGGAATTGTGACACACTTATTACTATTAGATAGAGCTTTTGGAGAATTGAGCTCTTTGGAAGTTGACGGCTTAGCACCTTGAAGGCAAGGAGAATAGAGATTTATTAGGTCATTGGGAGGAGACGTTCTTTTCTGTACTGAATAACTAATTGTTACTTCATCGGAAGGACGTTTACGCTTAGGAGCAGGTTTAGAGGATTCGTGAGAATCATTCAGGCACTTAAAAGATTTGAACAATTTTTCATAGTGCCTAAATTTTTCAGTGAGGGTTACAAACACTCTACCGTGTTCGTTAAAGCCATTGCGTGTCTCCCTATAAACTTTAAATAGATCGATTTCAATAGATCTACAATTTAAACAGGACCAACGCAATCCTTTACAGTCGAGAATAGAATCTAAGATTCTACCTGTCAGTCCAGCACATTTAATATGGGCAAGCCCATCACAAAGCCAGCATGAAACGTAGCGATCTTACTCGCCTTTAATGTTACAATTGGGGAAGTTACAAGACATAATAAACAACAAGAATGAAAATCAAATAAAAGAGTAAGTAGAACAAAATTTAATAGATATATAATAAATTAGTGTGTTAATAAAATATTAATAATAATAAATTCAATTAAGAGCAAACGCAAAAATAATGGCAATTTTTTTTATCAAAGTTTAGAAGCACTGTAGCAAATAAAAAGCTAAACGCAACACAGCTGTGAATAAAGAAGTAAATGAGATAAATAATTTGAGTAAATAGAACAAAATAAAGCAAAATGAAACAAAAAGCTGACTCGGCACCAAAAATTCGAAAGTTTAAACTTTTTAATACTGCACAAAACTTAGGAACATTTAATATTATCTTGCAATCCGAGTTAAATCACTAAAAATTGTATTAAATCAGAAAAAAAAATCAATTAAACTTGAAGAATTTATAAAATAAAAACACAAAAAATCACAGCCAAAGAACTACAGCTTAAGAGCTTGAAGTGTTGCCACCATCTGGCATTAAATTATAAAATTTATATATTTAAAATTGCCATTTATATGAAATCTTTAATTACTTCTATATATTCTAAGCACACTCCATATAGTACTTTTATATTTTATATTTACTTATTATCATTGCTTCATAGTTTCTCGGTTTAGCCCATTTTATCTAAAAACGACTATGAAAATGCAGCGCAATAGGTAAGCGTAGTATATCAAAAGAGCATAAGTCAATTTCAATAGCAAACCATTGCAAAAAGGACAAACGAAACAACATAGCCGACCGACATTGTCGTAAACTTGATAATTCAAACAAATTTTGTCAACTCCGCCAGATGCTCAAAATTCGGCGTCAATATGTATATATGTATGTTTGTCGACAAAGTCGTCATTTGGTTTTTTCAACAACACAATGCCCGCGCGAACTCGCCGTTATTTCGTTGGTTACCACCATGCACAGAGGCGTGTCAAGTGAGGGCTCATAATATATATTAATATGTTGCTTAATTTGTATTGAAAAATACTAATGCATTAATGACTTATTGACGTAATATAATTAATAGATACGTAAAAATATAAATACAAATAAATTCATACCTATAATCGTTTTTTTAAATAAATTCGATTAATAAAAACTATCTGAAATAATTATGTGGCAGTGCGCCCCTGACCCCTTCTTTCTTTCGATCGTTCAACTTGCTTCGCAAAAAGCTTCTCGCAAAAAGTCATTGTTTGTGCGGGGCAAAAAGAAGCAAGCATCAGCGTACGTGTATTTAAGAATGGATGTGTGATTATGACATTTGTGTAAATACGCGTAATAAGGGAATATTCCCTAAACCTAAACATATGAACATTTTTTCCTGAAATATTTTAATTATCTCAGGAAGTAAAATATGCCATTAATGTAATTGAATTATGATATGCTAAGATTTCAATTAATAAAATAAAAAATTAAATTAAAATTGAAGTTGCATGAGTTTTTGGATTCGAACTGATTAAAGGTGCTTTCCAAAGTAAACAGGCCTTTAAAAAAAAAGACAGAACAAATGGCTTTATCAGCAAAATCATTTAATTTTATTCAAAATAGTTAAAAGCTTGTCGAGTGTTTTAGCTCGTTCCCCGGTATGGCCGCCAGTATGCCGGTGCAAGCCTTTTGAATGGCCTCCACGTCTGCATAACGCTTTCCTTTCATCGGCAAATGCATTTTTACGAAAAGGTAGAAGTCGCACGGTGTCATCAAATGAATACGGGTTGATTGTTAAAATGTGATTTTTGGTCAAATAATCGGCCACAAGCGTCGATCGATGAGACGGCGCATTATCTTGCCAAACGCCAACTTCCATCTTCGCGATATTCGGGCCGAGCACGTCAAATACAGCGCACCAAACGCTTCAAAACTCGAAGGTAGCGCGATGTTTTGGGTTTCGGCTCGTCCGGCGCCTTTCATTCAGCACTCTGGCGTTTCGTTTCGGGATCATATTGAAAACACCACGTTTCGTCACCAGTCACAATCTTGTAAAGGAAGTTCGGGTCTTTTTTTGCCTCTTTACTGCTGTCCTTCGAATGTTGAACATACTGACACTTAAAACGTAATAACTTCACTTCCAATAGATGAAATGTCATGAAATTTTTACTGGAAGTCGATAATGGATAGCAGATTCTAACGCACTTGTCAACATATAGATAGCGCTATGAGTTTACTTTGTTACTTTTTTACTGTTTACTTTGGAACGCACCTTGTATGATCGTATTCGGATTGAGCTTAACTCCTTCACGCTTATGACCTCAGCCACCTCAAAAGTAAAAACACGGCCGCTTAGCCACCATTTTATTATCATCCTTTGCTCAATAAGCTCACGCAACGCACATACATAAGTTGGAAAAATTGCATAATAAATGTTTATCTTATTATGAATTCTGGGGTTTTACCGGTAATACAGCTTTTTAATTCAGAAGACTTTTCATAATTATTAATTTTGTCATATAATAGAAATTGAAAACATAAATCAAAATAGGTATGCACAACTATTTTTCATTTAGGAATATTTGTTGTGTCTTTTTATACCATTTCGCACATTGCGTGGTGTATTTTTCTTTTTCGAAGTTATATTTTTCGATGTTCCCTTATCTGGAATTACAAATTAGAACACAAAAAGATTTGATTGAGCATTTGCGCCTTCTCTATTCATTAACATTCTCTATCTATGCTGTCATTTGAATAACAAATTTACTCAAACGCATACACATTACATACAGTTCGAATTTTCAAAAAATCGATTTTTTTCCTTAATGTACATATTAGGTCAAGTAAAAAGTTCGTTCGGGTTTTCATTGATTTTTCAAAATTTTGATGACTTTGTGTACATTTGTCCGATTTAAGTCAAATATGCGCCGTTTTGTTGGTAAGCTTGTTGCCAACTTCATTATACCCCTCTCGTAGAAGGCTGCGTCCCTATTGGCAAAAAACTCGGAGAGCCAATTTTCACAGGCCTCTCTTGAGGCCAACTTCTTACCATTAAGCGCGTTCGCCATGGACAGGAAAATATGGTAACCACTTGGTGCCAGGTTCGGACTATAAGGTGGGTGCATTTGGACCTCGCATCCGAGCTTCTGGCGCGTCACCAGAGACGTGTCTGGCCTGGCGTTGTCCTGATGGAACACAATTCGGCCTCTGTTGACTAAAGATGGCCTCTTCTGGATGACTGCTGCCTTCAAGCGGTGCAGTAGTTGGAATTAGAGGACCGAAAGGGAGCGTTTGGCCATAAGGGAGCAGCTCATAGTAGATAACACACATAACACACAGCAAAACCATTCCGTTAGTTCGTGTGGCACCCAAACATCGAGCTTTTCTTTGAATCCAAGGTTATGCAAATGGTTCCAAACGGTTTTCTGGCTTATCTTTAGTTCCTCAGCAATTAAATAAGTGCTCACATGACGGTCTGTTTCCACTATTTCCATGATTTTATCGCAATTTTCGACGACAGGCCTCCCGACGCGTGGTGCATCTTTGAGATCGAAATTATCGGAACGGAACCCAGCAAACCATTTTTGCGCTACACGTGCGTTTACAGTATCAAGCCCATAAACTAAATTAATTATTTCAGCCGCTTTGGCTGCTTTTACGCCTTGATCGAAGAAAAATTGTAAAATGTAGCGAATTTTCTCTTTGCTGGTGTCTATCTTTGACGAGCGCTCACAACGTACTGAGTCAATCAATCAAAAAACTGTCAAAGACAAACTTTTAGCGCGAATAAACACGTTTTCAGCGCCGTATAGACCGTATGACATGATGCGACACGTAACACTAGTACTATGGACAATAACGCCATCTCTTACATAAAAACCGAACCTAATATTTAAGAATACACACAAAATTTCATATCGTTCCGGTGAATATTTTCGAAGTTACACGCAATTTTGAAACGGTGTTTCAGAGTGCTTGAAAGTACAAGGTCAGAGTGGCAGCGACTACCTGGACGCTGTCCCTTTTATGCACCAGCTTATTGCAAATGCTCCCTTCTAATGTATTTAGATGTGTAAATCAACGGTTTGATGGTTTTTTTTTTATACCTGAAATGTAAATTTTTATTTTTAGACCCCTAAACTGGAAAATATTTAAGAGTTGTTGTCAGTATATGCAACTAAGCCTAGCAGTAAACTTGTGAGTTTGTTTATATATTTGTGGGTAATTTTTCGTGAAAATAAAGTCTTCCAGAGAAATTAGAAAATCTTTTAGCATTCGTAAGTCGAGAACAAAAAAGCGCGAAAATGTATCTAATCCAAAAACAGTTGAAAGGGATGAAAGTAGCTTCAGTGCCTCGGCGAAAAAATGTAAATAACAGGAAATCTCAGTTATACGTGATTCGCCTGTTGAGTATCGCATTTTAAATTTTATAACAGTATTTTCAGGGATTTCTGAATATGGGAATGTAAGATCTGTGACGGAATTGTCAAGTTTCAAACTGCTTCTGAACGAAGACTTGGTCTTAAAATTGTTTTGCTGTGTGATAAGTGTGCAGAGCGTAAATAGTAAATTTAAGTCCTTTTGTCGCGCACTCTTATGAAATAAATCGACGATTTTTATTTGTCATGAGAGTGCATACCTGAGATGGCATACCTCAAAAGTACTATTCGTTCAAAGTTTTATCCCGATTTACTAATTGGGGCTTGATTTGTACACTAGAAAGTGAAAGAATCAGATGAAAGTTAAAATGGTTTTATATGGGAAGTATATGGGTTTTCATCTGAATTCGCGCATTTCTGCACTGTAACATCGAAATATTAAAATATTCGTAAATATTGAATTTGGTCCAGTGGGTCCAGAGATATGTGATTTCACTTAAATGAGGACAGTGCCACGACCATCATCCAATTTTGACACTTGCTAATATAACGCCCTTTTGTGCCATTCTGTTCATACCGTTATATGGAGAGTGGTTATTATCCATTTCCGCAGAGTGAAGAGGTAATAAAATAACTTCTTTTCAGCAAGTTTGGTTCATACATATATCTTCAGCGGTTTGAAAAGAGGTGTACATTAAACCTATTAGAGGGCGGGACCACGTCCACTTTTACCAACCACTAAGGCATTCGTTGTACCAAATTATAGTTTTGTATCTTATTGTGGAGCTTAGTTATGGCACTAAATAGGTTCTCGATTAAGGAAGTTGTAGGCGGTAGCCGTCTGATTACGCTCAAATACCAACTTTATCCTTTCACCAGCCACGATACTCACCTACTGCTTCAGCCAGTACCACAGAGTGATGATACAAACCGCATTCACCAGTCTGCAATGCCGACTGTTATTTAAGGTCATATACAAACTGGCCTTATCAGTTTTGAAAGACAACAATAACCGCAATATATTCTGGCAAAAATGCCTATACAGTATACAATGTTTACCACCTTACGGCTGTCTGCATCAAACCATCTAATACATATATGTATATATAAATGATCAGGGTGACGATGCGAGTTGAATTCCGGGCGACTGTCTGTCCGTCCGTCTGCCCGTGCAAGCGATAACTTGAGTAAAAATTGAGTTATCTTGTCGAAACTTGGTACATACTTATGTTCCTTGGCACCCAAGGTGGGTTGGTGTTGCAGATGGGGGTAATCAAACTCCTGTTACGCCCACAAAACGCCATTAAACGAATATCTATAAAGTGTCATAACTAAGCACTAAGCGAGAGCAGGAATCAGCCGCTGGTACCGCAGCAGCGCGTCTGTCCTGTTTAATGAAATATTCTGTCACGCCAGCGCCCAGCAAACAAGTAGACCGTTATCATAACAAATGGTTTTATCAAAACCAACAATTCTTCAGTCTCTGCTTTGAAAATGCTTTGCACGGTCCGCGCCATGTCGAACAACTTGTTATGAGTTAGCAGCTGTAGAGATAAGCAGGCAGAGGAAGAGCGGATATTTATTGTTTTATATCGCTTTTTATTGAGAAGGATGGAGGTAGAAATACGAAGTATTAAAGAATATGGGAGGGTTGATTTTAAAGGATGGAATAATTTTTGTAAGGTTACTTTGAATTAGGTAAATAATGTATTGTTTTTACGATTTTTAGGTGATGGAGCAGCGAGTATGCTGTTTTGCGGGATTACGTGAAGCAGTAGTTTATTGTTATTGCGGCGGAGAATTATTGCTAATGAAGCGACATTGAATAAAGTTAGAAGCGATGATGAACAAATTAGCCATATTTTTGTTCGAAGTTTGCTTTTATTAACAATTACTATTGGAACATACTTTTCAAATAATTTCATAATAATGTTATCAAAATGAGAGACACTCAATTCAATGTCACCATTATAATTAGGCCATGTTATTATAGAAAGTTCTGTATTTAACTTTTTAAAATTAGCTTTTGCAAAGTTGAACCGAGTACAGAAGCACGAAGTTTGATGATTATTATCCCGTACAATGCCTGATGCCTGAGATTTCGACAGATATTTCCAAAACAGGATGATATGAGTCCTCTGGTAGAACAAGAGGATTACTCTGAATAACGGAACACTTTGCAGAGGTTTTAATATTTGTTAATAGAGATTTAGTTATGTATTCATTTATATTTCTTATTTAATAGTAACTACATATACATGTGTGACATTTATGTTTTAAAATTAATTAAGAAAAGAAATAAATATTATATATAAATTCAAGAATTCATGAAAATTTTTTAGTTATTTTTTAATATTATACACATGGTCCACCTAAGGTAATGTCTATGTTGTTCTGGTATGGTAAAGATCCGTCATAAATAAAATAGGTAGCGTGTCTGTCTCGTAAGTTAAACGCATATAAAGGACCTTTACGCACGAAAGCTCTCATTTGTCGTAAAGAGTCATAATTTTCGTCCACTCTACGCCATTTACCGACATGAACGATTCTATCTCCCTTAACTCGATCTACATAGTTTTCCGGACAGTACCAACGATTGTGATCATTTCACATTAAAAATATATGCAAGCCAACACTATTTTTTCAGAATTTTCTGAATTACATTCATTTTACAAATGTAAAGAAAAGAGAACAGCTGATTTCTACGTTTTCACTACGGGCACAAATTTTGACAAATTTGTTTTGACATGGGCGATAAGTACGGGAAGGAGGAATGTCGGTGACTGTTTGTGCTATAAGGCAGTGATCGGCACGAGAGAAACTGTGACTGTGTAGGTGAGCACGAAATTGAAGACTCCCAATGAGAACTCTGCTACCTTAAATTTTGTTAATTTATTTCATTATTTTTTTTAAACAATTGCTTTCATGCTTTCTGATTCATTTTATATATTGCACTATTTAAATAACTACATTGGACCCTAAAACGGTCAAAATGTAATTCATAACACCACAAAGTGTTCATAATGCCAAAAAATTTCGTGTAGGGCACATTTCCCTTAGCGACATGATCACACGAGACGTTGTTTCGCACGATAGAATGTAAGCGTGGGAAGTTACCTTACAGAATTGTGCTATGAAATGCCGACCAGTGGTCTAAAGTCAATTTTTATCACCTCAGCCCTTCAGCCGTCAAGTAGGAGAGTACTTTAGCAGTACCACCGACTCTATTACTTTTCATTTCAAAATGCAACCTTAAAGACAATAGCAGTAATTCTCTGCATATACTCGTATATACATACATTTAATAATTTTGAATTATCATTTCAATTGATCTCATATGATATCTTTCAGATTAAATTATATTTCTTTCTCATATTTCTATTTGTGACATTGGCAATATATACATATGTGTGTACGTATATATTAGTTGAAAGGTTATGATTCTAGGCTTGATATTTATTATTCATTTCTTTCAGATGGTTCAAATTCGATGTTAATCCCTTAACAAAACATGAAGACTGGACTTACACTGGAGGTTATTGGGAGCGAAGCTATGAAACTACATCCCAAATTTTTTAACGAAATGTGTAAACATGTGTACTAGTACTTGTGTAAAACTGTTACTAATGAGTAATGCTTATTTAGTTTAAAATAAATTAAAGGGTGTTTCAAAGAAGTGTGGATGGCTTAATTTGAAAATGATCGTGTTCACCCAACTTTTTGCTTGCGTAGTAAGATAGGGAACACACTTGTGATCCACACGTCAATAGTAAGTGGTTATTTTATTTTGCACGTAACTATGACCCGGAAATGTGATTTTGCAAATTATAAAAACAGTAATAATAAACCACAATGCGTGTTTTCACCAAACCCATTCCTATACACAAGAAAAAGTTATTTGATCTATTCACAGCACAAAATGTAACACTCCGTTTCTACATTATAATATTTTTTAAATATGCTAAGTCATTAACTAATCTCACTGAAAAGTGTATAAGTAAAGAGCTAAGAAGGAAGAAGTGAACGAAAACACTACACGTCCATGAAGCAACGAAATCGATTCTAGTGTCGAAGATATGTAGACATTAAACATACCCATTGTCCGGCAGAATCGGCAGAATCGAAAAATAGTTATTTCCGATTCCTACTTGAATATTAACATCATTTCTTTCAACGTCAATCGGGCAAAATACAAGCCCTTTTCAAGCTGGAGACATCAAATAAAAATCTTTACGGAGACGGTTTTTAAGACAGTAAGCATTTGAAGTCGAATCTTCGGTTTCGTAAGCAATACACTGAGACAAGTGTTTTTTGCTTCAATTTGTTATTGCTCGCACACATTTTCGGCATGATGTCGTGCGCTGATTTATCCAATGTCAATCACTCATATACAGAACTAGCACAAAAAATATATACGAGGTATGTTCAAAGGAAAAGGTGTATTCTGAACTTTTTTTAAAAGTACTTATTTATTCATTAATATCTATTTTGTCTCCTTCAAAGTAATCCCCCACGGATATAATACATTTGTACCAACGCCTTTTCCAATCTTCGAAGCACTTCTGAAATGCGTTTTCCGGTATGGTCATCAACTTTTTCTTTGATTCTGATTTGATCTCTTCAATTGAGGCAAAACGCTTTCCTTTCATTGGTTTCTTCAGTTTTGGGAATAGGAAAAAGTCGCAGGCAGCCAAATCTGGTGAATACGGAGGTTGAGGCATGATTACGTTACGCCAACATCCCCTGCAACTTCCCTAATAGTGATTCGACGATTTTCAAGAACAATTTTTTCACTGTTTCGATGTTTTCTTCGCTTGTTGACGTGGTCGCACCTCCAGGATGCACATTATCATCAACATCTTCTCAGCCTTCTGTAAAGCGCTTGTACCACAAACAAACTGTTAATCAATATTGGCTTTTAATGCAAGCACATAATAAACATATGTGTCCGATTATAACAAAAAACAAAATAACGATAATCGAATGTACGCAAACCGGGAAAAATCAAAACTCACTTTTTCTTTTGAAAAAACCAGGTATATGTATTATAAACAGATAATCTATTGCAATGTGAGACGATCGTTATTATCTTATCTGAATGCAAGCCATTTTTACACGCACACGTGGTTTGTTTATAAAAACTGGTTTCAAATATTAATGTTCTGAAATTTCTGAATGCAATAGCACTAACTATACCACGTAACTCAGTTTCCATTCTATTACATTAAATATTGGTAATAATTAATTAATGAATAGTTTACCAAGCTTTTAAAATTTGATTTCAAAATAAGTGCTGATTCATAGTCTATACAACAAAATATTTAGTTTAAAAATTAGCACATAGCGTTGGGAAGGTTGATTACTGTGGAAGAAATTTATAACATACAGCCTGTGAAAGAACTGAGCTGCTCGACCTTCCCCAGCGACATCGCTTCGCTCTATGGGCTTTGGAAAAGTTCCAAGAACATCCGACGTTTTCGATCCAAATTTTGTGCATCGATTAGGCCAATTTCTGGCTCAATGGGTTTGTAAACAAACAAAATTGCCACATTTGGAACGAAGAGAAACCTAAAGATCTTCAGTAGCTTCCATTTCATCCAGAAAAAAACAACGGTTTGATGCGGTTTGTGGGCCGAGAATCATCGGTCCATATTTCTGCAATATTGATGCGGGTGATAAAGTAACCGTCAGGGGCGATCGTTATTGCGCCATGATAACCGACTTTTTGATTCTTAAATTTGAAGCTCGTGATTTCGCCGACATTTCGTTTCAACAAGACGGCGCCACTTCCCACACATCGCAACAATCAATGGATTTATTGAGAGAACACTTCGGTGAGCAGACAATTTCACGTTTTTTGCCGGTCGATTCGCCACCAAGATTGTGTGATATCACATCGTTAGACTTTTTCCTGTTTGGATATGTAAAGTTTAAGCCCAAAGCGTGTCATTCGCCAGTTACCAGTCGAAGTGCTCGAACGAGTCATCGAAAATTGGACTCATCAGATGAACCATCTGAGACGTGGCCGCAGCCAATATTTGAAAGAGATAATCTTCAAAAAATAAATGCCAAAGAATGTTCTTTCGAATGATAATAAACATTCCCCATTAGATTAAAATTTTCTTTGTGTTTTACTTTAAAAAAGTAGAGAGCCTGGAAATGGATCACCCTATACAAGTTGTCAGGAGTCAGCAAGATCGGCTGAGCCTGTAAACTACTCTCCGTTTGCAACGGCAATAGCGGGTGGCCTACGTCACGGCATTCCTCCTCCTTCCTCCACGTTCACTGCAACAATTCACCGTATTCACTAGCTAACGGTAGGACAAGCGTTATGTTTGGTTTTTGGTATAGCAGTTTAAGTGAGTACTCACTGGACTAGACAACACCATCCGAAAGTAAATAAATATATTAAATATATCAAAAGTTGAAATATTTACTGGCGTTCAACGGGGGCCTACGTGCTGTGGAAAGAATCCTTGAGATTTTCAATTCATTAACGTCGAATAGAATAAACTATTTGAGTTTTTTATACGAAGTTATGGTCGAATTGTAAAATAAATGTTTAATCTCTTCGACTAAAATAATTGAGGCTAATTGGTTATCAGTAGCTCGGTTTATCAAATATTTTTGTTTAAGTACACAGTCACCCAATAAAGTCTACATACCCTCCTGAAAAGTCCAGTTTTGAGCCATCTATACACAGTTAGAATCCGTATTTTCAAAAAAAAAAGCATTGATGATAATATTTACACACAAGGAAAAAAGTCTATATACACCTTTTGATTTTGCGATTTTGATTTTGGAAACGAGTGCTTTTTAAGTATAATATTTTAGTAAGTGATGGTCAATCGAGAATTTTTAAGGAAACCAAATACACTTAGTTTTGTTTTTACACCGTAGATTGATTCTAGAAAAAACCGTGTAAGAAAAGACATTGATCCTTCCCCTAAATTTGTGCTGTTTACAATTGTTCTGACTAGTAAACTTGATTGTATCCACAGAAACTGAATTCCTCTTAGTTTAAGATATGAACATATTTCGCAAAAATTTAATTTGACAATCAATCTTAAACGGTCAGATTGAACAAAGCATAGAGAGTGGTTTGTATATAATGCCTCCAGACAACTAAAATTAGAACCACAGTCGCCAGACATAAATCCGATTTAACATATTTGGGACGTTCTTAAACCTTAAAAACAATCCCTACCCAAGCTTGGGCTAAAAATTCTTTCGATCTAACTGAAAATTTGTAGACTTCAATGCTCCGACGTCTCTAAACAGTGATTGCTGTCCAAGGTGATCATGCCAAATAATAAGATTCAAAAACAAAAATATTTTTGGAAGGAAATTTTAAAATTTTTGTAATAGCTGTATGAAGACTTTTTCCCTGGTGATTTTTTATGCTTTATTATACCCTGAACAGGGTATATTAAGTTTGCCACGAAGTTTGTAACACCCAGAAGGAAACCCTATAAAATGTACACATAAATGATCAGCATGATGAGCTGAGTTGATTTAGCCATGTCCGTCTGTCTGTCTGTCTGTCTGTCCGTATGTCCGTCTGTCTGTATATATACAAACTAGTCCCTCAATTTTTATGCTTACAAAAAAGTTGCTCATTTGTCGGAACGGCCGATATCGGACCACTATAGCATATAGCTGCCATACAAACTGAACAATCGGAATCAAGTGCTTGTATGGGAAACTCTTTCATTTGACGAGGTATCTTCACGAAATTTGGCATGTATTATTATTTAAAGCATTAATCTGATCTCCGAAGAAATTGTATGGATCGGATGACTATAGCATATAGCTGCTATATTAACCGAACGATCGGAGTAAAGTGCCTGCATGGAAATTATTTTATTTTATGAGGTATTATAGCTTCTGCGCAACCGAAGTTTTACTTTTGTTTTTAGTATTATTGCAGTGAAAACCTGTTTTCGTAACAACACGGGTGTATGTAGACTTTTTTCCTTGACTGTAAACCAATTTATAGTGGGGCCTCTTTGGCTTTGCAGAACAGCGTTTAATATGTTTTTCATTGAAAAAACTTATTTTTTGTGAAATCTTTTAAAAAAGATCCCTTTCGTGGAGTAAAGCTTTTTTAAGGTTCATTTTTTCTCGTCCTTGTTCATCCCATAAATTCTCTATGGAGCTCAAATTGAGCAAATGGGAAGCAGAATGGAGTTATTGCGGAACGTCATATAGTGGACATTCCTTAACAATTTGACAATATGCTTTTAGTCATTGTCGAGTTAGAAGTACCAACCCTCTGCAAGCTCCATTTTATGCGTGGATTGGTCTTTTAATAAATTCAAATATACAACCCCACACCATTACGAAACCGCCTCCGTTTTTGACGGTGGAGAGCAAGTCTTTTTTAAAAATAATAACACTTATTTGTTTTTGCGCTATACATTTGGTTTTACGTCAGAACCAAACAAGTTGAAGTTTATTTTGAATCGATGGTTTATATCTTAACTAGACTTACCAACAAATTTCATAAAATTGCAAAATTTCACTTAATAAAGCTACATAATGATACTTCAATACATTGAAGGAATTAACGCGGAAACTAACTCATACACAACGTGCAAGTCAAAGAAAGGGATGAACGATCACACCTTTACAGGAATTTGGGTTAGAATTGTAAATTGGGCCTTAAGAAACTCATTATATGTGGTTTAAAAATCGTA